CTTTTTCCCAAAATTTATTTGAACATTTAAGGAAAACCTTTAACCATAAAAAACTATCCTTTTTATCAGAAAACCAAAAAATCCTTTTTGGAAACAAACATGTTTAAGGAACCACATCATTTTATATTTATTAACACATTCCAAAATATTCCTTATTAAATTTCCATTTTAACATTCCTCCTTGTTATTCTCATTCTCCATTTTTACTAGTTACATTTATTATAACTCCAAACCTCACGTTCATGTTCCCTTAATACTCTAAACAACCCTTATACACTTCATTCCCACCTATTAATCCTCTCTTTCTATAACTCTTTAACATAGAAATCCAAGAACATTTACATCACATTCACATTTGCATTGTTAGTTATAACTCAATTCCACACAACTCTGCCCAACACAACTCAATTCCACACAACACAACTCAACCAACTCAACACAACATAACCCAATACAACTCACATAACACACAACAAGATTCAACACAACCATTTCAACACAAAGCTCATACCATCCATAACATTAGTAATTTCTTTTCCCCTAAGTTTGGTTCACATTATAACATAATTTAAAACATCAACATTAAGGGTTCAATCGCAACTCTTACATAAATTTCTCAAATTCTTTAAAATTTTCATTAAACTTATACATGTGTAATTTAACACTTCAATTTCATGATTCTAATATCAATTGAAGCAAAACCATTAACCATCTTCATGAGCCAAACTAGAGTTTTTAAGGGAAGTTAAAACTTTTCACAAAACACATTTTATTTCAACCCTTCTATTACTTTTACACCCAAACTCATGACCCAAGATCATAATCCAATAAATAAACCCAACTCTCTCTTCAAACCCGAATCCCCAATCTCGTGATTCATCACAATATGCATAAAAATATAAACTTTCGTGTTTATATAAGGAAAATACCACAAATCTGTCAAAAAACGAGGGTATTGAAAGAGAATTAGAAACCCCTACCTCTTGAAGCCAAGAGATAATGACCCAAAAATCAATGGCGACGAAACCACGAACCAATCGGACCAAAAGGAGGCCCTCGACAAGATCTATACTCTTTCTTAAAGGACCATGGTGAAAAGATCACTCCATGTGAGTAGATCTAGAGATTTAAGTGAAAAAGTTTGAGTTTTAGAGAGAAAGAAGAGAACTCACGATTTGAGAGAGAGGAAAGAGAAGAAAAGATGAAATGAAATATGTTTGGAGCCTATTTATAGTAGTAGAGAAGTAGCCCTAAGGTCAATAAAATAATAGGCCTAAAACCCCTCAAAAGTAGGGCCCAAACCAGTCCAAAAAGATGAAAATTACACATAGGGGTCGACCCTCCAGGGAGAAAAGCAATCTGTGCAACATGCAAGGTGTCGACCCTTAGACAAGTAGGGTCCACCCTATTTTCCAGCAACCAATACACAGATTTTGCAATATACAAGGGTCGACCCTTCCCAGACTGGTGTCGACCCTTATGGACAGCAACAAGAGGCAGGTATCGACACCACCAAGGCTGGTGTCGACCCTATATTCCAGCAACACTTCCAGAAACTTCACCAATAGATAAGGGTCGACCCTTAGGAAGACTGGTGTTGACCCCAGAATAAAATTTCTAAGTTCCCAAACAACTTTTTGACAAGAACAAGCACAAGCAAACAAACCCAACTAGTTTAAATCGGATCATACTCCTCCAAAACCAACATTCAACAACTCCAAAGACTCCCAAAAATGAAAATAAGGGAATTAAATACACTCTCCAATGGATTAAAGGATGCGAGTGTTACAAACTCCCCACCTTAGGAAATTTCATCCCCGAAATAGAAGGCCAAACAAAAGGTAGTATGAACACAATAGGAAACACAACCTCTAACCTACAACTAGTTCCACACTTGGGATAGATTCCCAAATTTGGATTCAATATTGCAGAGCCCCGAGGACACGCAATCAAGAGGAATCATAAGGAAGAGGTTGTGATCACTCTTTTGACCAACATACTCATCGGAGTCCAAGAGACAAGGAACAACGTCAATTACTAGTACTCCCAAGGAAAATCAACAACTCCTCAACCGACAACAACACGTACCATTACCACCGGATGACCAATACCCAATTTGGAAGAGAAGGAAAACCCCCCACTAAACCAAAAACTCGGCTGAGACTAGCAAAAGCCAATGGCACACTACAATGTACGGTCCATCACAACAATTTACAGTTCACACTAAGCTTAGCAACATTTCCAATTATTTATACAACCCGACATTCAAAGACAAGACAATAAAAACCGTTCACATTTATATGTATATATAAAATTTTATTTCTCAAACGGTATCCCATCTTACATCCACTACAAAAAATTTGACTTTTTGTGACGGTAAAATGCCGTCACAAATACTCAAAATACTGTCTCAAAAGGTTTTTTGCGACGACAGATGACTTTTTGCGACGGCAAGTGGGGGGTCGCAACAAAAGGGGTCGCAAAAGGGTTTTAGCGATGGTACGTTGCCGTCGCCTTTTTTTTGCGACGGCAAAGTGACCTTTTTGCGACGGCATTTTTTCGTCGCCATTAATACGAAAAAATCTGAGATTTTTTGAGACGGCACTATGTTGCCGTCACTAAAGGTGTTATTTGCGACGGCAAAGAGTACTGTCGCAAAAAGCTTTTGTCTCAATTTGCCACTATCATTTGCGACGGCAATGTGGTGCCGTCTCAACAAAAAAAAAATGCAGTAAAATTATTAAAAATATGAAAATCACCTATATTAAATGAAAAATAATTGAAAAAGAAACAAATAATTACATAATAATATAAAAATTCCAATATAAAAATAACAATTCAGCCATAATACAAATATTCTTGCATTCATTTATTACAACACATTAGCAAAATTATCACACCACATAATATTGCATAATACATACACAATGTTTAAATACATAATGTTGTTCACAATTCAAAATAACGTAAATCAAAAACAAAAGTTTTCTTCATGATTCTTCCATGGATAACAAAAACAAAAGTAAATCGCAATCTTCACACGCTTGTATTCCACAAGAAGCAAACTGGTACTCGGGAAATGTCTGAAAACAAAAAATAAAATAATTAATGACAATATAATTATGTGTTAATATTTTAAATACAAAAAAATATAAAAAATTAACTACTATATAATTACAAAGATAATTTAGTAAATAATTTTGGCTAGACGGAAATTTGGCTCTAACTTCCAAACCGGGAACCCAATTGGAGTCCTGTCTTCACCCACAAGTCTCTCGTGCCTAGGCGGTCATGTATGCCAAGTTTCGTGCTAAACCGACGTCGTTTGGTGATTTTGGGGAGTCAACACCTCCAATTCAAGTTTCTTAAGGAACTAGTTTGCCTAGAGTGATATTCGACTCTAACTCCCAAATGGGGAATCCAATTGGAGTCCCGTCTTCTCCCACAAGTCTCTCGTGCCTAGGCGGTCCTGTGTGCCAAGTTTCGTGCTAAACCGACGCCGTTTGGTGATTTTAGGGCGTCAACACCTCCAATTCAAGTTTCTTAAGGAACTAGTTTGCCTAGAGTGATATCCGACTCTAACTCCCAAATCGGGAACCCAATTGGAGTCCCGTCTCTCGTGCCTAGGCGGTCATGTGTGCCAAGTTTCGTGCTAAACCGACGCCGTTTGGTAATTTTGGGGAGTCAACACCTCCAATTCAAGTTTCTTAAGGAACTAGTTTGCTTATAGTGAAATCCGGCTCTAACTCCCAAACCGGGAACCCAATTGGAGTCCCATCTTCTCCCAAAAGTCTCTCATGCCTAGGCGGTCGTGTGTGCCAAGTTTTGTGCTAAACCGACGCCGTTTGGTGATTTTGGGGCATCAACACCTCCAATTCAAGTTTCTTAAGGAACTAGTTTGCCTAGAGTGATATCCGACTCTAACTCCCAAACCGGGAACCCAATTGGAGTCTCGTCTTCTCCCACAAGTCTCTCATTCCTAGGCAGTCATGTGTGCCAAGTTTCGTGCTAAACCGACGCCGTTTGGTGATCTTGGGGAGTCAACACCTCCGATTCAAGTTTCTTAAGGAACTAGTTTACTTATAGTGAAATCCGGCTCTAACTCTCAAACCGGGAACCCGATTAGAGTCTCGTCTTTTCCCACAAGTCTCTCGTGCTTAGGTGGTCGTGTGTGCCAAGTTTCGTGCTAAACTGACGTCGTTTGGTGATTTTGGGGCGTCATCACCTCCAATTCAAGTTTCGTAAGGAACTAATTTGCCTAGAGTGAAATTCGGCTCTAACTCCCAAACCGGGAACCCAATTAGAGTCCCATCTTATCCCACAAGTCTCTCGTGCCTAGGCGGTCGTGTGTGCTAAGTTTCGTGCTAAACCGACGCCATTTGGTAATTTTGGGACGTCAACACTTCCAATTCAAGTTTCTTAAGGAACTAGTTTGCCTAGAGTGAAATTCAGCTCTAACTCCCAAATCGGGAACCCGATTGGAGTCCCGTCTTTTCCCACAAGTCTCTCGTGCCAAGGCGGTCGTGTGTGCCAAGTTTCATGCTAAACCGACATCGTTTGGTGATTTTAGATGGTGTACGCCTAAGTTTCAGGAATGCATAATTATTCTTTCCAAAAGACAATCCCTATTCAATTACAGGGCTATCTTCCAACATGACCTAAAAAATGATAGTAACTTAAGAAAATTATGAAAAATCATTAGTCAGACACAACAAATGTGTTGATTTTGAAAAGAGTGAAAAATTTCTGGTAACATAGGTCTCTCTGAAGCATATGCCAGGAATACAAGACAAAATGTATAGTGCTAACACAAACCTCACAAGCATTCCAGTTCATTCAGGTCCATCTAAAGCAAACGATAAAAATATTTACTACTTCAAATCACAAGTGCTCAAAGATCCAAATTAGAAAAGGGTTTAAACTGTCTCAAAAGAGCAAGATAAAAAGGACTTGAGAATTTACATATTTCAGCAAGTTTCCATGAAATTCTTATTTACATAATTGGCTCGAATGCATTCAGATTGATCCAAATGTGTTCTCGCTGCTGTAGGTCATGTACAGGAAGCCATCTTCATCCTTGTTTTCCTCATAAATTGCAGACATCATGGCAGCTGTGACATGGCAAATACACAAACGAACACAAGTACTTTAAAATGTTCATATTAAAACTTCATTTTTTTTTTCCGCATTTTGGGTAATGGATTTTTATGGTAATCACCTTTTACATTTAATGTTATGCATGACATAATAATTTTTTATTTTAAATCAAGTTATTAATTAATATGAAGTTTAAAACATATACAATAGGCAATTTATTTTCATAAAACTTTTATTGTAGTATCTACTTTATCCTGTATGCAACTGGTTCAACGCTAGTAAGTAAATGAATGTTGGCATACAATCACAAAATTCAGAAGCCTATGACAGTGAAGATATACATTAACAGTAAAAACTTTCTCACCAGTGGGTGGCAAAATGTTCTTGACAAAGATAAAGATGGCCTTCTCAGCACCAAGCTTTATCCTCTTCCAGACCACATAGACAAACTGCCCAACAGTCAAATCAACAAGTACCAGATATCTGCATGCATATTATGGGCAAAAAAGAATTTCATTAGTTTTGACCAATCTCTAAAACATCTTTTCACATAATTACTGCATTTATAAAACCATTTCCCAAATCAAAACTGTGACAAGCACAACCCTTCAAAAAAGAAAAAAAAAAAAAAAGCATACTTCCAAAAATGTGTTTGAGGAAGAATTAGCTGTGTAAACTAGGATGTGAGAGTACAACCTTAACCAGAAGCAAAACCCACAAATGGAATGAAAAAAAGCACAATCCAATGTAAACACCAATGCTTCATATTAATGAACACTGACATTAACAGTTTTGGCATATCTGGCTAAAAAAACCATTACAAAGTATAATAAAAAGTATATAAACAAAGGCAAGGCGATAAGAACTAAGGTAAATCAAGAAACCTAAAGGAATTCCCGCCACATCTCGTTCAAAAAGACAACATACTTTTGTATAAAAGTGTACCAAAAAAGAAAATATAGAAGTCAATCCCATCAAGTTTATGGAGATACCATTTCAATTATAATAGAGAAAGTCAGCTGAGAGATTTTACTTTAAAAAAGAATCTCTTCACAAAAATATAATGCTTATGAATCAATATAATTTGAGCATTATCAAGAAACAACTGACCATGCAATGAAAAAGATCTTGCTCTTTTGGCAGTTCTCAGAAGTCACAAAATCGAAGTCATAGATTGCATATCTGCAATCATTCTTAGGAAGAGATGCAGCAAAATCATCATAGCTCTCAGCTAGACTTCCGGTCTTTTCGACCACAACCTCATTTTTCTTCTCATCAATCTTAAAGATCACATAACGGTGCACCTTCTTCCTCTGCAATTCCATATATGTGCTTTTGCTGAGCTTAACAACATCCATGCCAAATGAAGCATTTGTCTGAAATCAAACAATACATTCAAATGTTTGCTCCAATCTAGAATATATAATGTACTCTCACACTTGTATTTTTTGTATATAATTATCAGTTATGATATATCTGAAACGTGACAATGCATCAAATTCAACAATTTTGTTCTGTTCTAGGAAGAAGGTCCAAACTGGACAAGTTTCAAATGCCATATATTGTCACTGATGTTAAAGAGTGATGCTTTGTGCTTCCCCTCTTTTCAAGCAAGCTACTGTACAAGAAAATTCATCAATTATAATCCATAAAAAGTTCATATCCAGTGGAAAAGGCTCCTGCTTACAACAGGGTCTAGGAGAAGTAGTAGGTAGGCATCAAACCATGCGAATAACACTTGCTATCACGCTACGTCATAACCTCTATACCATTTATGGTCCTTGTAAAAGAAAATAACAAAGAGTAAATAAAAAAGCTTTTAAAACTTCCTACACCATAACTCTTTATCTATCTCAAAACAGTAATGAGAAATCAAAGTAGAATGGTTACAAAAGGGAGCCTTTTGAAATATTTGATTTCTTCCATTAATCTCTCAAAACTAAGGGAAAGAAAGAAAAGTGTGAAGCTACACAAATGGGAGGGATTCTCTAAAGAATTTCATCAAAAAATGAAGTAGTATTTTCATGGGTTAATTACAAGAATACCCCTCAACTATCCCTGAATACAACTTTACCCCCATTAACTTTAAAACCGGACATTTAGACCCTCAACTACAGAAAACATACAAATGCCCTCCTCGATAGGGATGAATATAATGCAGGGTTCTGAATGCACGATTTGAGAGTTAAAAGGGTAAAGTGATATTCGGTGATAGTTGAAGAGGTGTCTGTGTAATTAACCTTATTTTCATCCTTTCAGTTTACAACAAGTGTCTATCACGGCCATACTCATTTTCATTTAGAAAGTAGTACTCTCACCCCTTTAGTCCCCTAAACAAATTTCATATTTTGCCCATGAATTTTCAAGAAAAGCACTTGCTAGAACAACTAAAATTCACATCAAACTAAAAACTTTCAAAAAGCATAAATCTTTAACCTCAGTTCCAAACAAGAACTTCCAAGCAGAGACTAAATCAAGTGAAACCCATGTACTAAAGTCATTGAATAATGATGTTACACAACCACATTCTTGAAACTGAATAGAACCCATTAATTTTCTAGCGATGAACAGCTAAAGTAAAGATTTATTCCAAATAAACAAATCCAAAAATTTCAAATCACTTTGCCCCAAAATTCCCAAAAAAAAAAAAAATCAAACCAACACATCAGATATAGAATCTAAACAGGGATGGACTAAAAAGAATCAGATCTAACAATAGAATTGGAACTGAAAGACCAAGATAGGTTCAACAACTTACCCCTCTGAAAGACATAGTTAATGCTAATTAGAAGGCTAGAAAAAGAGAATTTTAGAGAGAAAGATAGATAGAAAGGAGTTTTTATTGAAATTGTTTTGACAGATAAATCTACAAAAATATTCTTTGCTTTTAGAGAGAGGAAAATGAAGGCAGAAAACACAAACCCTTGAAGGGAAACTGGAATGAGATCAGCACTATTACTATTCGCATCGAACTTCAAAGCTCCACCATCCTTTTCTGCTTCGGCATCAGACCCCTTAACTTCTTCCATAACTTTCTCCCTCTAAATCAGCTTTTATATGAAAAGAAAGCCCAAATGGATTGATATTCAATGAAGCATTGAGTAGAAGAACCAAACCCTAGTTCAAATCTCGACAATATATTCAAAAAAAATGAGAGAACTTTGGATGTAATTAGAGAGAGAGAGGCATACAGTCGTCACTCGCCGTCGCTGTCGTCACTCGCTGCTCGTCGTCGCCGTCGCCACTCGCTACTGCTCGTCGTCGTCATTGATGACCGTTGTCACTCGCTACTAGCCATCGTCGATCACCGTCGTCATCCATCACCATCGTTGAATTTTGGCTCAAGGGCTTTGGGGATTTTGCTTCAAAATGGTTTTGGGGATTTTGGTTTTAAAGATTTTAGGGATTTTGGGTTGGTTCAGAAAGGTTTGGGGATTTTGGGGAAACACATGACCGCGAATAGGCTAAAATAAGCGGGATAGAGGAAAATTTCATTGTTTTTTACGACGGCGTACTTAAGCCGTCACAAATGATGAATCCTAACAAATAAAACGACGCCATTTTAACAAGACTTTTGCGACAGTAAATGTTCTCGTCTCAATTTTTTTTTTTTTTTGCAACGGTATATCAAGCGTCGCAAATGTTTTATGTTTTTTTGTGATATATTCATTAGCGACGGGGTCGCCACCGTCACAAAAGACCATTTTTTGTGACGGTTTGAAAATTCCATCGCAAAAGACCATTTTTTGAGACGGTTTGAAAACGCTGTCGCAAAAAGTTCCGTGTTATTTGGGCTGTTTACTTGTAGTGATCATTTACCATCAAAGTACATTTGCAAATATAAAATTTTCATAACAATTACATTTACCCTCAATTAACATTTTAGTTTCCGCTCAATCAACATGCCATTCATTAACACAACTTTGATTAAATCCTTAGCATTTAGTCGACCGTGCCATCCCAAGTCACAACACAAAGAAACGAAACATTCATTTGCCAAATTATTCTCAACATTTACCCAGTGAATTTCAACTATCACCCAATAATTTTCGTCACCCATCCAGTGACTTCACAACACCTTTACCATACGCATTTGTAATAACAACAAACAAAAAAAATCCGGTACATCTGAGGAGTAATAATACATGTACGACTTTTCAAAAATTGGGAGTTCTCACCCATTACAAACATCAGCACAAATAATCATTAATACACATTAGCACCAATGCACTCACAAAGTTTTACATTCAAACACTTCAATTTCATTAAGGTAATTTCACAAATTCACATCTGCCACATACATGCACAAACAAACTCCATGTCTACTAGTACCACTTAAAACACTACTTGACCGTACCACCATTTATCTGAACCATAGCAATTTCCAAATTAACTAAATGTCAATTCACTTCAAATAGCATTCATTTAAAACTCGTCGAAAATCAAACCAAAACAGACCAAACTAACCCAAATCAATGCTCACGTGCCATCAAAGGAAGCAACTACAAGGGTTCATCTCTCCTACGCGACTTAATCCAATTCACCAATTTTCTACTCCCACAATTCAAACATTGACATACTAACCAACACCAATTGTCCCTATCTAGGGTTCAATACACACCCCTTCACATCTCACAATTCATATTCATCGTTACCACTTTTCATTCACATGCGGACTAGACCAAGAAATTAGTAATGTTCCTCCCTCAACCCGAGGAATTTCCATCCACGCGAGACAAGCCTCATCCAAGCCTCACCATTACATATGGAATACTCCACACTCACAAAACCCTTCCAAGACACATCTCAAACATGCTACTCTACTCATACCTAAGCATTCCAAAGTGACTATTTGTCACCCAAACTCCCATATCAACCAATTCGGTTAACCATTCAATAAAACTTAAATTTGACACTCAAACATCCACAGGTTGCCCTGAATCAAATACTCCGAGATGGAGCTCCACACACCATTCCCCATACTTCTAGAATTTCACCATACTCCTCAGGTACACGTTGCACTAGTACTATTCCTAACAATCCCATCACTCTTGCGCTGATATGGCAACACCAATTCCAAATCACACTAAACCTTTATCACCCATACAACACCCATTACAAAAATTATAACTCACATTCCTCCTCAAGAACCACTTCTAGCATTTACTATCAAGTTTTCTTCATACTCATGGACTCTATACAAGCCTTAATCATGTCACTCAATACTTAAACACCACAAACCCCTTTTCTCACCCTCTTCATCATGAAACCCAATTCTTACACTCCCTTTCCAAACCTTTCACAATATTCTACATAACTCAAACTAACCTTATACCATCCTAAGATTTCGCCTTATCTCAACTATACTCCCTTACAGCTCTCATTATCTCTATAACAACATCTAACATCCATCAACCAAACTCTAACCCTTCCCTAAGACACTTACTTTTCCTGCCCAAAACAATAAATTAACCTAACATATAATCACACAGCACATAAACAAAATTTAAGCAACAACGACATATTAGAGTCAAGTCTACAAGGATAACCACTTGTCCCGGAACTTCCACTGGAAACCACGTTGATCAGACGCGTTTCCAATGAGATCGCAAAGCAAGTTAGCCGGCTACAAGCACTATCCAGGAAGCTCAACCCATGCTCACACAATGCAACACATAATGTCCTACACTTCCTATTTCCTACATGCAAACGTCCTCACCAAACGAAGCCAACCCATTATGGCAAAAACCACTTCCCACGAGCTCCAGGTTTTCAAACCTGGTTAGCTCTGATACCAAGTTGTCACGCCCCAAATTTTAATTACTCGAAAACATTACCAAGAGCCTGAAATTTAGGTCCATTTTTTTGTTTTTTTTGTTTTTTTTTTAAATTAAAAATATCTATTACCCTTGAGTAATATAAACATAATAGTACATGTTCTCTCTAATGATGAGTACAACAATAATGATAATACATGCCAAGCTCCCGCTACGGGATTATAAATAAATAATTACAAACATCAAGGTACAAAGAGATTACACACAAGATATACATGAACTTCCTAATCCTTCAACCAATCAATCCGAAATCTCTTCCTGTAAAAAAAAAATGATACAACAAGGGTTGAGCACAATTGCCCAATAGGAATCTCAGAGTTCTAAAACAATAACCATCCTATAGATAGAAATGATCATGCATGCAGGGTGATACCATATAGTAGGCGACGTTTTGTAATTTCAAAATATCATACGTAGAGTACCTTTTTCTCAAAATTTATTTGAATATTTAAGGAAAACCTTTAACCATAAAAAACTATCATTTTTATCAGAAAACCAAAAATCCTTTTTGGAAACAAACATGTTTAGGGAAACACATCATTTTATACTTATTAACACATTCAAAAATATTCCTTATTAAATTTCCATTTTAACATTCCTCCTTTTTATTCTCATTCTCCTTTTTTACTTGTTACATTTATTATAACTCCAAACCTCACGTTCATGTTCCCTTAATACTCTAAACAACCCTCATACACTTCATTCCCACCTTTTAATCCTCTATTGCTATAACTCTTTAACATAGAAATCCAAGAACATTTACATCACATTCACATTTGCATTGTCAGTTATAACTCAATACATCACAAGGATAACAAACCCTTTTTAATTCAATTTCTCCATTAATCACAAAGCAAAACTCTTAATCTTTCCTTATAGATACAAACAACCTGGTGAGTTCTTTATCACTAACCCCTTATTCAATTACCATTTCATTATCCATTCTTTTCAAATAATTTCCATAAACATTCCCCTTCCATATCAAATTACACATCAAATGGTAATTTCACAAGTTCATCACAAGTCACACATATCATCACCGATTTCAACACACGTCACAACACATTCCACCTTTTGCCGACTTTATACAGCGGGATAGCGGGCACCCAATTCATAGCACATTCCACCTTTTGCTGACTATTATACAATGGGAAGTGAACTCCCAAAACATATTTTCTCAAAAATCATGTCTTTTTCCGAAAACCATTTTCAACTTTTTAAAACCATCCCCACATTTTCCGACTATTATACGACAGGACGTGGGCACCCAAAACATTTTCGAAAACCATCCGTTTTTCCACTTTTGCCGGCTACAATACGGCAGGACTATGTGGACACTCAAAAATCATTTTTCCCACATTCGTCCAGTGATAAGCCTAGATAGGCCAATTGGGCACCTTGAATTCAAACCAACCCCACATTTACCGGCTATTATAAAGACGGTTGTGGGCACCAAAAAACCATTTTTTTAAAAAAAATTTAAAATAATCCCCTACATTTACCGGCTATGATACGGATGGTCGTGAGCACCGAAAAACCATTTTTCAACTCCCCGCATGGGTACCAACCACAACACAACCCAACACAACTCAACTCAACCCAACACAACTCAATTCCACACAACTCAGCCCAACACAACACAACACAACACAACACAACTCAACCAACTCAACACAACATAACCCAATACAACTCACATAACACACAACAAGATTCAACACAACCATTTTAACACAAAGCTCATACCATCCATAACATTAGTAATTTCTTTTCCCCTAAGTTTGGTTCACATTATAACATAATTTAAAACATCAACATTCAAAAATCATTTTTCCCACATTCGTCCAGCGATAAGCCTAGATAGGGCAATTGGGCACCTTGAATTCAAACCAACCCCACATTTACCGGCTATTATAAAGACGGTTGTGGGCACCGAAAAACCATTTTTTTAAAAAAAATTTAAAATAATCCCCCACATTTACCGGCTATGATACGGACGGTCGTGGGCACCGAAAAACCATTTTTCAACTCCCCACATGGGTTCCAACCACAACACAACCCAACACAACTCAA